CATCCCAGCTATCGATTCTTGTTCTGCCGATACATACTCTTTCATTGGCCATCCTTGGATTGGTGACATCAATTTTGGTGGACTTGATAAATATGTTTTCAAGCTTTCAAAAGCCTTTTGATGCTCTTTTTTCAGACCAATTCGTCCTGATTGTCAGCTTTAAAAGAGGCAAAAAAAACTTTCGTTCGCCCTACACAATTAGAGATAAAGCGCTTTAAAAAGTTTACTTGGCCTAAAAACATTTGCAATTTTTTTTTGTTGCTAGGAGGTTTGGCCTCAAAAATGGCATTCACTTTATTCTTATCAAGTTCAATCCATCTTTTGTGCACTAGAAAATAAGGAAATTTTCCGCATTAACACCAAATGCATATTTTAAAAGATTCAACTTTAGTTTGTATTGCCTAATTCGCACAAATGAGCGTTTTAGTTGTTCAAAATTGTCTCTCTTTAATATATTTAACCACTATATCATCTACATATATTTCGACAAACTTGTCTATCATATCATGAAAAATCAAGTTCATTGCCCTTTGATAAGTTGTCCCTGCATTTTTCAGGTCAAAAGGTATAACTACCCATTCAAAGCATCCTAAAGCCAGGACATCTAAAGGCAGTTTTGTGTATATCTTCTTCAGTTATGTAAATTTGATTGTATCTTGAATATCCATTCATAAAAGAATACATCACGTGTCCGGCAGTTGAATCTACTAAAGAGTCTACCGTAAGCATTGGATATTCATATTTGGGCGTTGCTAAGTTTAAAATTTTAAAATCTATGCACACCCTTAACTTACCATTCTTTTTTTAACACTGGCACGATATTAAACAACCATTCAACATATAAGGTTGTCCTAATAAAACCTATTTTTAACAATCGCTCAATTTCTTTTTTTACCACGGAAAGTACATTAAGGGCAAAACGTCTAGGAGGTTGTTTATAAGGTTTAAAATTTGGCTTATTTGGGAATCTATGTTCTACCAATTTTTTTATCTAAACCAGGCATGTGTT